TCTCAATCTCTCTCCATCTCTCTTCCAATCTCTCAATCTCTCTCCATCTCTCTCCCAATCTCTCAATCTCTCTTCCAATCTCAATCTCTCTCTCCATCTCTCAATCTCTCTCCATCTCTCTTCCAATCTCTCAATCTCTCTCCATCTCTTTTACAATCTCTCAATCTCTCTCCATCTCTCTTCCAATCTCTCACTCTCTCTTCCAATCTCTCAATCTCTCTCCATCTCTCTTCCAATCTCTCTCCATCTCTCTTCCAATCTCTCAATCTCTCTCCATCTCTCTTCCAATCTCTCAATCTCTCTCCATCTCTCTTCCAATCTCTCTCGCTCTCTCAATCTCTCTCACTCACTCGCTCTCCATCTCTCAATCTCTCGCTCTCTCTTCCAATCTCTCAATCTCTCACTCACTCGCTCTCTCTCCATCTCTCAATCTCTCTTCCAATCTCTCTCTCTCAACCTCTCTCTCAATCTCTCGATCTCTCTCAATCTCTCTCTCAATCTCTCACTCTCTCTTCCAATCTCTCCATCTCTCAATCTCTCTCCATCTCTCTTCCAATCTCTCAATCTCTCTCAATCTCTCTTCCAATCTCTCTCGCTCTCTCAATCTCCCTCCCTCGAATCCCTCTCACATCTCTCTTGTTCCGTTTGCGGTGTGCGCGATGGCGCTCGTGTTGCACGTGGCACGTGCAGTGCATGTTGTTTTTGTGTGTGACGTGCACGCCACGTGATGCTGTACGCGATGTGATTTGTATCGAAATCGGCTGCAGTGCTTTTGCTGCTGGCGACAATAGAAGTGGTTTAAAACTCAAAAACTCTCTCTTGCTATCTCCCGGTCTCTTTATCGCTCTCCCTCTAGAACTCTAGATTTCTTACTCCATCTCACTCCTGTCGCTCCTCTCTCTCTCTCGTCTTCACGCATTCCTGGGGAACAGCTCACAACCGCATCAGAGACTGCACGCCCGCACTCAATACCAATACCCCCTCCCACACACAAACGCAATCTTCCTTTGCGTGACCGCAATGTCACACAACCTACACTGATAACGGCAATCACTGTCACAGAACCCACCCCGATAACCACAATCACTGTCACAGAACCCACCGCGATAACCGCAATCACTGTCACAGAACCCACACCGATAACCACAATCAGTGTCACACAACTCATCCCGATAACGGCAATCACTGTCACACAACCCACCCCGATAACCGCGATCGCTGAAACGGCAACTAGTCGCTCAGATGTGGACAAAGCAGTCGCGAGATCCCGATACATTGCGAGTTGTGGCGTGGATTGCCCGGACCCGACCCTGGGTGGGGGATTTGAACCTTCTACGCGGTAACGCAGCGACCACCACCACCGCCACCACCTCCACCACAACCACCACCAGTCATTCGGCAGAAACTGGAGTCGATTTGAACATATAACCATTTTAATACGGAGCTTATTAAACACGACGGTCAACAGTTGCTTCGTGTACGTGTAACGAACACAAACAAAAAACACAACACGCACGCGACCCGGCAAATCGGGTGAAGGCCGCTATCGGAGAAGATATGTCTCTCACTGTAGGTAACTGCCATCCATATTAATTGTGGCCATGGCAATCGTCAACCTTATAAGAACCACCGGGGGAAGAGGCCTGGGGGCCCCACGCTGACGCTAACACAAAGTCCAGGCAGGGGACTGGCACACAAAGATCCCCAACGTGTTGCCCTGTAACAGACTGTCGGGGCCAAGTGCTGTTGGCGACCAGCAGCACCTAATGAAGGTCACCGGCACTGTGGCACACGAGGGGGGTGGGTGGCCAGCACCACGCCCGCCCGGCCGCCTTTGTCTCCCCAGTGGCGGTGTTCACCACACACCCCACCAGGTACTCGTTTGAGCCCGAGTCGACCTAGGGGAGGCCCAGGACCGGTTCGGACAATCGTCGCTTGGTGTTGGTGGCCGTGAGCGGGAATCGAACTCGGGTGGCCCGGTTCGTAGCGCAGCGTAGCGCTAACCGCTGCACCACCGCTCCCCACACACACCGGCATAGGCACGTTAGATTTCGCGCGAACATACACCAACACACACAACACATACCACCACACAATACAGCGAGACACAACTATACACACTCACACACAAATACACAACTACACACACACCGAGACACACAAATACAGGCACACAACCACACACACACACCAAGATACACAACCACACACACACGGAGACACAACCACACACACACACCGAGACACACAACCACACACACACATCGAGACACACAACCACACACACACATCGAGACACACAACCACACACACACACCGAGACACACAACCACACACACACACCGAGACACACACACACCGACACCGAGACACAGACACACACCGAGACACACACACACCGAGACACACACACACACCGAGACGCACACACACCGACACGCACACACACCGAGACACACACAGACACACCAAGACACACACACACACCAAGACACACACACCGAAACACACACACACCGAGACACACACACACAGACAAACCAAGACACACACACACACCAAGACACACACACACCGAGACACACACACACACCGAGACACACACACACACCGAGACACACACAGACACACCGACACACACACACACCGAGACACACACACACACACCAAGACACACACACCGAAACACACACACACACATCGAGACACACACACCGAGACACACACACACCGAGACACACACACACACACACCGAGACACACACACACACCGAGACACACACACACCGAGACACACACACACACACCGAGACACACACAGACACACCGAGACACACACACACCCTTCGTGTGCCAAGTCAGCCCGGTCACCACCTCTCCTCCCTCGCCCGCCCCAATGGGGTTCGCGCTGCAAGACGATTGGCCGCGTGTCCACGAGGCCCCCTGCGGATAGCGAGCTGCTATTGCACTAATAACTTCATCAACAACAACATCATCATTAACATCATCATCAACATCATCATCACCGCTATAAGAACATGACCCAACGCAACGTTTGTCATCGGTACTCGGGTAACACTTGCTTTAAACGTGTCGACACTTACAAAAAAGAAAGCAAGTCAACAGTCTTGAAGACAAATCGTCGGTGTCCTTCATTTGAACCGAAGAGCAGGCGGGCGGGAAGAAGATTCCGTCGCTTCCCGCGATTAGGATAAACCGATTGGGTTTTTTTTTCCCTCTCTACCAGGCGAGGGCCCGCCGGGATTAATCACGCCTCTTGTTGAGATTGACGCCCATTTCACCAGGCGAGAGCCAATTTTGAGATTGCTCGTCTCGCGAGATTTTTTTTTAACGTCCCTTTATTTCACCAGGCGGGAGCCCGTTTGAGATTCATTCGCGTGGGTGAGTGACCTGGCCGCTCAACGTCTCAAATTGGGCAGTTACGATTGCTCCAATCCACTAATGTTGGATGCGTCTCCCCGACTCCGACCGGGCGTGTCATCACGGGTGGAAGGGGTCATTTGACCATACTTCACCACGCCGGTCAGTGCGGGTTGACGACGCCGGGGAGCATTAGACGTTGGGAGCATGGGTACAGGACAACAACGCATTTTGCTGCACTATAACGCAGCCCGTAAAATAACAAAAAAAACACATAAATAATCAGAACAAATTAATCCATTCTCGCCATCATCGCCAGCCACAGCTCTAACAATAAAACAATAGCCCCCCCCACCCCCTCCCCCCGTTACCCTGCGCGCCGTAACGCTAACCCGAACCCCTAACTTATACAACAAAAACAAAACGGACATCCTTTCGGAGAGACTGGCTCCCATCACAGGGAATGTGGAATTTCCCACCCACTGCAGCGGGCTCACAACTCGGTGTAAAACAACAACAACAACAACAACAAAAGTTGACCCCCCCCAAAAAAAGGCACCTTTTTTTACCTTCACAAAACCGTTCGGGACATTTCGCTTTGAATTCTTGCGACGTCAACTTCACGGTGGGAGACCCGACGCCCGGCCCGCTTTAAGCCAGGAGGTGTTGAACCCAAACCCTCCTCCCTCTTCAACCGAAGGCCTCAACACGACGTTGAGAGGCCCCGCCAAACAACCCCCCCCCCCCCACCAATTCTTGGGGTGGCGGTGGCAGCCACGCCATCAACGCTCACACAAGGAGAGCCAATCAACCGTCCGAAATATGGCTTGGCCATGTATACGTCAAGAACTCCCCGTCAACTGGGGAGAATTCAATGCCCTTCCTGCCAACTGACGAACAAAAAAAACCCAGAAGCGACGGTGGAGTGCCGCGCTCACATCTCATCACCTCACGGTATCTGCTCGCTCTCTCTCTCTCGGAGGGAGAGCGCACGAGCGAGCGACTCAGAGGGAGGAACCGCAGGGGAGCTTGGAAGGGCAGTAGCAGCAGCAGCCAGGCAGCGGCGAGATAAGCAGAAAATCCCGGCACCCCCACTCACCGAGCTCTGCGGTCCTCTACATACGAAGGCGTTATCGGCCAATTAATATAGGTACGGGGTGAAAGCGGAAGACACGGAGAAAAGCCGCAAGTGCAAGGTGGCAACACCGTATCGCGTGCATATGGAATGGCCAGAGTCCACATTCTGCCGTACTGCGCTACTTTCTCCTGGCGAGCCAGGGTACGGGCAAGCTCATTGATGCCCACGGCGGGAAGGGAGTCCCACGCCAGTTGTGTCACGGTCCACCAACCCTTAGTTACTGTTGCCTCCACCGTGCTCGATTGCAGCAGCCACGTGCACAGCCATCCACCACCGCCAGGCCACGTGCACAGCCATCCACCACCGCCAGGCCACGTGCACAGCCATCCACCACCGCCAGGCCACGTGAATATCCACCACCACCACCACCAGGCCACGTGAATATCCACCACCACCAGGCCACGTGAACATCCACCACCACCACCACAACCGCCACCGCCAGGCCACGTGAATAGCCACCACCACCGCCACAACCGCCACCGCCAGGCCACGTGAATAGCCACCGCCACCGCCACCACCACCGCCACCACCAGGCCACGTGCCATAACTGGTGACCGATATCAATGCAACATTCGGAACGGACTTGATAAACTTTGCCCCCCCCCCCCCCGTTTCAACTGCCGCGCGGGGAAACTGAATCGCAGCGGTGAACTTTGGATCACAAGCCCAGCGTGCTGCTGACCGCTCCTTGCTGCACGACGGTGGCAGCTCCCTCCGTGTTTCAGTTGAGACGGTCAAAAAGTCTCACGGTCTCTTGTTCTCTGCAGGGTGGCCAAGAAGTCAGGACACGCAGCGGTATTACATCTATTTTACCAAACCACACGGAGTTATTTTATTTAGTTTAACACGCGTTCAAACTGCATTCCACTATTAACATTCATGGAATAATTATTATTTTAGAAATTAATTTAGGACTTGTTTTTGTTTAAGATCGCAGCTGCCTACTTCAGCAGACATAAAAACGAATTGAACTCAAATTTTCATCAATTATCGAACATGTTTAATGTCACCTGAAAAGGAAGAATACACGTAGATATAAATACCGATTTTAGTTCAAAATATTAATTTAAAAAATAAAGTTTTAAAATAAAATAAATAACCCTACATGTCCTGACTTTCGAGCCATTTATATCACACGGGTGTGGTTGTGGTGGCGGCTTTGCACGTGGCTGCCTGCCTGCCAACCAGCAGTGCGTGTGGGGAGGCAGCAAGCGACGGTTGGTGGATCACACGCGGATGCTGCGAGACTCCCTTCCACCTGCGGGCGTCGAGAAGGTGGCCCTACCCTGGATCGCCAGAAGGCGAATGCACGGCAAATGTTCGGACTAATTTCCATCCGCCTCGTCTGAATGGGACGGAATGGGCCGCCCCCTTGCACGCCAGCGTGGCATTTCTTGGGCCGCTCCGGTTTCCTCCCGCATTGTAATAGATGCTCATTCATTGGTTGAAAACACCTTGATGTATATGTAGAGGAGCGCAGAACTTGGGCAGTCCGCTGCTGCTGCTGCGGACTTCCAGCTCGCGTCTCTGGTTCCTCGGCGGCTGCGAGAGAAGCGGTTTGCGTGAACGATGACGTCACACGCTAAACATTAAGATTCTAATTGTTATAACTCGTGGCAAACTGGTACCCGTTTTTTTTTTCTATCACACGGTTGCTAGGTTAAGCAAACAACAAAAATACATTTTAACAACCCCAGCTTGTTAGCGGGTAGGAAATACTGCCCTCTAGTACCCGACTAGTTGCGGCTAAGACGGCTGCAGTCGACCGGGGTAACGCACCGCACGCAGGCTGTCGATATTTCACCCCCCACCGAGTCAGAAACACGACAGCGGATTAACGGTAAAGCAGCTGCCGCGTATCCGTCTGGCCGGGCGTAACGTGCGGAAAGGTCCAATGTGTGAACATCCATTGAAACCGAGTTTTTTTTTGTTTGGGGTTCGATCGCGTGAATGTAAAGGGTGCCGTTCAACCGGCCGCCACCCCACTCAGCCAATTAGTAAGATAGCCACCACCACCACCACCGCCGCCAGGCCACGTGAATAGCCACCACCACTGCCATCGCCAGGCCACGTGAATATCCACTACCACCACCACAACCGCGACCGCCAGGCCAATTAGTAACATTTGTCACGTAAACAAAACGTGCCAATTCATCACTAGTACAGCACACCGGTGTGTTGGACAGTAAACCCACAACGTTTACAATTTTACTCTAAGCCAAAAACTCCATTATGGATAATATTGGTCGCAAAAGCCTCCCGCGCGTTAAACCGATCTATTGAAACCGACCGTTGCGACCGTTGCGACTGGATAAAAGAGAGCGAAGGCGCTCGAGCCTGCACGAGTGTGTGTGTGTGTACATTGGACTTCTTTCGGATCATACGTAGCAATCCCAACCTGCGAAGGTCACAGAGCGGAAAGCGGCAGCCACCCCGGCACGGCAACGCTGCGGCGGGCGGCACGGGCGGTTGACTGGGTCATGGCGGACGTGCGATGGTCGGATGTGCAACATTGTGCTGTAACCGCCATCGCCACCGCTATCATAGCCGTCGCCGTTAATATTTCACGCAAAAGAGCTTCGGCGTGAGGCTTGCGCGGAGAACGTCTCCCCTTCGTTGGTCCCCCTCAACGTCACCGTGAACACGGCGAGCGCTTTCGAGCAAAACATAATACTAATCAATCAATTGTAAAATTAAACGCAAAACAAGAGAACATTCGGGAACAAATACTGCAACGGCTGCCTTCAAAAGGGCTCGAATGTCGTCGTCGTCATTTTTTCTGTACAGACGTTCGAGATGTAACGCCGCAGTGGACACGCACGCGGGCGCCGAGCATCCCCGTCGCACCATCCTCGCCTTTCGAGTGCAAGAATTTGATTCGGGGTTTCGCTTCGCAAAAGGCTTCGTCTTCGTTGCCGCTCAACGGGAGTCGTGATGCGGGGTGCTCCCGACGAGCCCGGATTTTGGTCCTCATCCCAGAAAACAGTCACCTCACCCCGCTCACTCTCATCCACCAATGGGGAGAGGGGGGGGGGTAGGATGGGGTCAAGAGTTTTGAGCATTGAGGGGGGTCGTAGGTCATGGGTCAAAGGCGGCGGACGTCATGAGCTCTGGGGGCACCAGTCCGTGTCGGGGTGGAGCAGGCAGTGGAGGGACAGGAACCTGCAGAGAGCATCAGCATCATCAGCGTCATCGTCAGCAGAATCATCAGCGGCAATCGTCAGCTTGCAGTAGCGCCAGCAGCTTAATCAGCATCATCAGCTTCAACATCGGGGTACAACTTCATCATCAACACCACCACCGTCGTCGTCATTGTCACCATGGTCTTCATCATTACACACAAATGAACCACAATATCTTGCTGATCTCGTCAGCAAGGTATTGTGGCCAACCAAAATCAGCGGCCGTCTGAATTTCTCTTCTAATATTAGGAAGCCAATGGAGCTGTGCACTTTTAAATCATATACATTGACCACTAATTTCTTCAGAACTGCTTTTTGTGTTTAGTTTGTTGTCCTTGCCCCCGATTAGCATGGTTGGCTACGTACCGTGGTGCGAAAGAAATTCAACACACAAAGACAAAGATCCCCCGTGTAGCCTTAACAGACTGTTGGGGCAAGTGCTGTTAGCGAGCACCTACGAAGGCCGGCACAGCACACGAGGGGGTGGGTGGCCAGCACCACGCCCGGCCGCCTTTGTCTCCCTCGTGTGGCGATGTTTTACACACCGCACCAGGTACTCATTTGAGGCTGAGTCGACCTCGGGGAGGAGGCCCAGGACGGGTTCAGATAACCGTCACTTGGTGTTTGGCCGTGAGCGGAAATCGAACTCGGGCCGGCGGGTTCGTAGCGCAGCGCGCTGACCTCTTACATCACCGCTCCCCAACGCGGCGGTACGCAAAACGTTCCAAACACACACACGCACGTACACACATCGTCGTCACCACCACCATCACCACCGTGAGTGAGACGCCACCGGCACTTCTATTGTAGCTACTCACGCGGCCCGCGTGAGTAGCACCCAAGGGGCTCTCTCCCCCGCGTGGATGAATTTGATAATTTGCTTTAAGAATGTGTAAAAAAAAACGAGACTTATAATAAAGTCCCGCTTAGGGATATCTTGAATGGGGGGAGGGGGGCAGGTCTAGGCCGGTCCTGACGCGCCGGCTCCACGGCTCCAGCAGGGGGCGCCGTTTGGAAACGAGTGAGCGGACCCGTGCGAGCACGTGACTTGGCAGCGGACGAAAATGGCCGGGGTGGTAAAACGAAACTAGATTTATATAATAATAGGGGTTTTCCCTTTTTTCTGGCAACAAAACTGAAACCTTTTTACGAGGATTCATGTCTGCATTAGCCACAATACCTGCAGTCAAAATGCAAACAAAAAACATACTATGAAAATACATGCATTGTCCTTGAATCTGATTTGGTCCACACCAAGGGACGGCTTTCTTTTGAGCCTCGACCCAATTGGTGCTCGACCAGATGACGCCTTTTGCAGGTATTGTGGTTAATGCAGACATGAATCCTTGTAAAAAGGTTTCAGTTTTGTTGCCAGAAAAAAGGGGAAAAACCCTATTCTTTTCTAGATTTGAAGCTTTCGTGACTGCAAGGATCCATACTCTTTGGTTCTATTCGGTAAAGTCACGTAAAAGTATAAAACAACAAAAAATAAAAATAAAAAATTCACGACGTTTCGGCCCTATTCTTATATTTTGGTACTGGCAAAGGAGGTCTAATGATGTAGATTTATAAATACGGTAGAAGCCCTCTTAATGACGGTAATTGGTTCCACCAAACCGTTCGTTAGGCGATTTGGTCATTAAACGAGTATAGGAAATACACGTTAAAGGCTTCATTCGTTCCGATAGCAGCAAAAGCTACCCATTTTCCAACCGAAAAAACGTATTTTATAATCATGCGTATGAACACATAAAGGTACTCACCACATTATATACACATGATCAATGCATTAATGCAAATAAATTTATAACATTTTTGACATGCGTTTTTCTGGATTTTCTTGTTGTTATTCTGTCTCTCACTGTTCAAATAAACCTACCATTAAAATTATACACTGATCATTTCTTTGTCAGTGGGCAAACGTACAAAATCAGCAAGGGATCAAATACTTTTTTCCCTCACTGTAGCCAACCATGCTGATCAGCGGTATGGGGGGGGGGGAAGACAACAAACTAAACACATAAAGCAGTTCAAAAGAAAAAGTTTTCTAGATTATTTAAAAGTGCATAGCTCCAGTGCCTTCCTAATGTTGAACACAGCTATGTGCGTCACATTGATGAGTGGCAGCAGCAGCACCACCACCACCATCATCGTTGTCATCGTAGCAGCATCAGCGACAATCACCACCACCACCATCATCATCACAGCCATGGCAGCAACATCATTTTTGAGTGGACTCGGTGATGTGGGCGAGCGAGGGGTGGGCGAGCAAGGGGCGGGCGAGTGAGTAAGGGCAAGCCAGCGAGCGGTGGGCGGGCTAGGGGTGGTCGAGCGAGGGGTGAGTGGGTGAGGGATGAGCGAGCGAGGGGTGAGTGAGTGAGTGAGTGATGGGTGAGCGAGCGAGAGGTGAGTGAGTGAGGGATGAGCGAGCGAGGGGTGTGAGTGAGTGAAGGATGAGCGAGCGAGGGGTGAGTGAGTGAGGGATGAGCGAGCAAGGGGTGTGAGTGAGTGAGGGATGAGCGAGCGAGGGGTGAGTGAGTAAAGGATGAGCGAGCGAGGGGTGAGTGAGTGAGTGAGGGATGAGCGAGCGAGGGGTGTGAGTGAGTGAGTGAGGGATGAGCGAGGAAGGGGTGAATGAGTGAGTGAGGGATGAGCGAGCGAGGGGTGAGTGAGTGAGTGAGGGATGAGCGAGCGAGGGGTGAATGAGTGAGGGATGAGCGAGCGAGGGGTGAGTGAGTGAGGGATGAGCGAGCGAGGGGTGAATGAGTGAGGGATGAGCGAGCGAGGGGTGAGTGAGTGAGTGAGGGATGAGCGAGCGAGGGGTGAGTGAGTGAGTGATTGAGTGAGTGAGTGATGAGTGAGCGAGGAGTGAGTGAGTGAGTGAGGGATGAGCGAGCGAGGGGTGTGAGTGAGTGAGGGATGAGCGAGCGAGGGGTGTGAGTGAGTGAGTGAGGGATGAGCGAGCGAGGGGTGTGAGTGAGTGAGGGATGAGCGAGCGAGGGGTGTGAGTGCGTGATGGGTGAGCAACCTCGTTGGGTCTTGCTCACTGCCGAACGCTCCGCTGTTGATGTTGATGACGTTGCGCTTGTTCTCAAACGTCCCATAGCTCAGCGTCGCCTAGGAGTGGGAGAGCCACGGAGAGATGCAGCGAGAGAGGCAGGGAGAGACAGGCAGAGAGATGGAGAGACAGGCAGAGAGATGGAGAGACAGGGAGAGCCAGGGAGAGAGATGGAGAGACAAGGAGAGAGAGAAGGAGAGGCAGGGGGAGAGGGAGTGAGAATCGGGGGGAGAGAAATGAAATATTAAAATTGTCACTGTATCGCAGTCGGATTTTTCAGCCATTTAGGAGGCCTCCGTTCTGAAAGGAAATGCCAGAAAAATTCACCAACACCGTCATCGTCACCAATGTCGTCGTCACCGCCATCGTCATCGTCACCGTCGTTACCGCCATCGTCATCGTCACCGTCGTCACTGTGACCATCGCCACCCGTCGTCACCTGTCGCACCTTCCTTATCCCCACGCTCGCCCGCTCAGTGGACCGCTCTCACCCAGCACCACGGTGTGTGCGTGTGCGGTGCCCTCACCTGATGAGGGAGCTGAGCGTGAGGGATCTGTTGCAGGTTCTCGAGGTGCGAGTGGAAGAGGGGGCTGAAGGTGAGCGGCACCCCCAGCATGGCCTCGGCGATGTAGCCCACGGTGCAGTCGTCCGGCAGACGGATCCGCTCCGCCGTGCTCATGAACACGCCGGCACTGCACCACCACACCGTAATCCCACACCGCACGGCGTCACCGCCCCGCGTCACCGCCCCACGACACCGCACCACGTCGCCACATCGCCACAATGCACCGCGTCACCACACCACGATGCCGCACCACTTCACCAAACTGCCACACCGCACGGCGTCACCGCCCCGCGTCACCGCCCCGCGTCACCGCGTCACCGCACCACAATACTGCACCGTGTTAACGCAGTCACACCGCGACACCACACTGCACTGTCACACCGCGACGCCACACCGCACCGTGATACCGCACTGCGTCAGGGTGCGCCACGCCGAGACAGAGAGCTCTAGACCACCACGACACCACACCGTGTCACCACACCACACCACCGCGGCGCACCGCACACGGGGGGCCCACAACCCCACGGCAGGCGGCACTCACCTGGCCCACGGAGTCATCTTCAGCGCGAGACCGCGGCTCAAGCAGAACCCGGCACCTCCCGTGGCAAACCAGAACGTGACCGTGTGCTGTGGGGGGAGATGGCACATCGTCATCATCATTTCCATCATCATCATCACCATAATCATCATAAACATTCATCATCAACAACATCATCATCATCATAGCCTTCACGATCACCGTCACCTCCACCAAACCAGGACCAAACCAAGGCAAAGACAAAGATCCACCGTATAGTTTTAACAGACTGTTGGGGCAAGTGCTATTAGCGAGTAGCACCTATCAAGGCCGGCACGGCACACGAGGGGGTGGGTGGCCAACACCACGCTTGGGCGCCTTTGTTTCCCCAGTGGCAATGTTTACGCACCATACCAGGTACTTATTTGAGGCTGAGTCGACCTAGGGGAGGCCCATAACCGGTTCAGATGGCCGTGAGCGGGAATCTAACTTGGATCGCCGGGTTTGTAGCGCAGCGCGTTAACCACAACACTACCGCTCCACCATCAACATCGACACATTCATTTTGCAGCTCGGGCCACTCGCTGCCATCGGACGGCCAAATGCTCCATCGGCGTCTTGTGACCTTTGACCATCATCTTGTAGCGGAACGTGTTGATTCTCTTCTCTTTGGTGGGGGCTACAATTAGAGGGATTAACAGGCAATAAAACCGAATAAAACCGGATTTTTGGCCATCTGAGATGATCGGGTTTTTGTTATTAAAACCGTGAAAAACCAAATGGAAAAAGCCCGATGCTGCCAGCCTTGCTCTCCGTGCACGGACAGCCCTCCATCGATCCACTGCTGAACGAGGGCCAACCCGAGCCTGTGCCAGGTCGTGGGCCAGTTATTCGAATCGAACAACGCTTACACCACGCTGTGGCAGCGCGGGCTGGTGGACAGAGAAAGTGTGCCGGTGGGAACATAGCGGTACGGTATAATGGTGGATTATCCTCACTCTGCTGCCAAAAAGCCAGCCACGGAATATATGACTCAACGGAAAACTCTTCTCTCTCCATGTGACGCTGAGTTCTCTCTCTCTCTCACTCCGAAATGAGCTGCTCCATAGGACCTCGCTGGTTCTGTGCGACAAGCCATTGGTGACGGGGGGTGGGCCCTGCTGATATCGGGGTGGCCGTGACTGCGGCCCCAGCGGGTTCGAATGCGGCGGCTGCCCTGGTCAATGCTGCGGTGTGCATTATTGACCAACGGCGCGCTATTCGCCGTCTGATTCACGGCCCCGGTGATCCGTGAGGCCTGTTTGCTTGCGAGGCCTTATTGCCCATGAGGCCTAGTTGCCCTTGACGCCTAGTTACCCATGAGGCCCGGGTTGCCTGTGAGGCCTAGTTACCCATGAGGCCTCGTTGTCCATGAGGCCCGGTTACCCATGAAGCCTAGTTGCCCGTGAGGCCTCGTTGCCTGTGAGGCCCGGTTGCCGGGAGCAACCGCTTACCGAGACGTGGGGGGAGAGGCGCTCGGTGGCCTCGATGGGCCGATCCAGCGATGGCCGCCCCACGTAGAAGTCGTGTGTGTGCGAGAAGGAGGAGAGTGCCGCCCTGAGCGCCTCCACGTTCACGTAGTTGTCATCGTCCACGTGGCAGAACCACCTGCGGGGGGGGGGGGGGGGGGCGGGAATGGGCAGCACAGCAAGCAGGACGTGAGTGTGCGTACGTGTGCATGCAATAGCGCGCGTGTGTGAGGGTGCGCGAGTGTGTGAGGGTGCGCGAGTGCGTGTGCGTGTGTGAGGGTGCGTGAGTGTGTGTACGTGAGTGTGTGTACGTGAGCGTGCGTCTCACTTCTTGCCGGACTTCACGAAGGTCTCGTACTCTACCGACATCTTGCACGACAGCGCTTGCCGATTGTGCGCCGCCGAGCAGTTTGTGTTCACCATGTGGGAGCCTGCGCCGCGCCATTACAGACATCATCATCATCATCGTCGTCGTCTCCACCATCACCACCGCCGTGAAGGAACCTTCCTCCCTTCAGCTCCACAAGCCGCCGTATCTCCATCGCTCACGTTCACCGCGACACGGCGATCGACCCGGCTCCCACACAGTGACCCGACGCTCTTCGTCGAAGATGTGGCCGTATGCTCGCTTTACCCCGGGAGGATTGCCTCCCCCGTCAACGTGGCTGGACGCGGGGGGTGATTCTTATTCTGATTGTTGTTGTTGTTGTTCGACCGCGCTGGGCTAGTCAGAGCCGCCGATCGTCACGGCCGTGTCGTTTCCCCGCTGCCGGTTCCCCCAGACGGAGAAGCCAAAAGAACCTCGGCACGTTCATCGCGAGGCGTCACCGCCTCGACCGGTTTTCTCGGCCGATCGCTTCACGCTATGGTGGCCCCGCGATGCAAAACAACGGCAGCGGACGATGTTGATGACCTCCCCCCCCACCCCACCAAAGCACCAGCAGACTCGGGACTCGAACTCAAGTTCAGGACGGTGAGGAGGAGGAATGGGGGGTAGGGGGGGTGGTCCAACCGACCGTGCTTTGGCGTTAGCGCCAACGAAATCTGCCGAGGCCGGATCGGACCAGCAGCATGTGCTCACAACAGACTTGACCCGAACGTTGCGTGTAATGTGTAGCCACGACGCAGCGCATTTAGGGCCCCCCCCACCCACCCCCCCGCCCCCCCCCACCCCCCGCCGCCCCCCCCCACCCCCCGTCGCCTCCAGCGCTCATTCAAGCGGAAAACTGCGCCGGCTTTTTTGTACCGCTGCATCCGCATCCAAATCGTGTGCCGTGTTAATAAATTATTGTTCATTGCATTGCTGCATTATCATTATCGTTCGAGTTGTTTACCCGAGAAAGCATCCCCAAGTGTTTTTGCCAGGAGGGTCCTGCCAAAGATTTTGCAGTTGCGGGGGCGGTGTTGCTGCTAATTTACGTTTTTTTTTGCATATTGTTTTTTTATATTTAAATGTTTGGCCAATACCAGGTTCATAGTGTGGTGTTTATTAACTCATTGCAAACGTGTGCCCGGTTTCCTAGCGCCACTTCCAACCCCCGAGCCACCAAGGCACTCTGGGTAACCTCCCATGATTCCAGGCGGGTGGGCGGGCGGGCGATGTCGGTACTCACCGGCGACCTTGCGGATCTCCTCGTCATCCGTGTCTGTAAATATGTATGTCTGTGGGGGGGTGGGGGGTGGGGGGTGGGGGGGGCAGAGAGAGAGGGATTGTGTGACTCACAGAGCATAGGCCAAAGTTGAAGGGCAAGATTCGGGGTCATGGGAAGCATCGGGAAGTCGTGGATCGCCACTCCTCTCGAGTGCTGGATAAAGGCCTCCGCACGCAATGATTCCCAGCAAGTACGGGTGGCCAAGGTGTAGGGGTGGCCTAGGGCCCGCCAATCGGATGTCCCCGACGTTAGCCGGGGGTCAAAGCCAGGTGTTTGTAGCGCCGTGCGCAAACCACTGCGAGCCGTCGCTCCCGACGGCTCGCAGACGGAAATTCAGGTCATAAATGAGCACTGTGCGATTTACGCTGCACGCGTGAGTGTGCGTGCGTCTGACATTAAAAAAAGACACCCAAGCGGCATTAGTTTATGAGGCTAAGCCTTGCTGACGAGTCCCAGTGAGGTTGAAATGCCACCTGGACTCATGCCCATAATAACCTCAGGCCATCAGAGGCGCCCAGTGGCTTTGGTTTAAACGAATCCAATCCATGTGGAAATCACTTCAAGGATGAGTAATTTAATAAACATCCACTGATGGGAGACATTAGTCTTGAAAAAATGGCTATTAGGCTGCGTGTTATTTCCATTCCGATTTAAAACATAACACCTTTTAAAAAATATTATTATTACTACGACAACATCCTCGTCAGGGTGCCGCTGTGGTAACACTCCTCGCAGTCGCAAGGTCACGAGAGTTCAAATCCTGCTTGGAGGAAGACTCTGGACTGGTTGGGGTGCCACTCGCCAGCCGATGTTGTTGAGCCGTTGGTCGGCGATCGAACTTGTTTTTTTGCTGGATTCAGAGTGCAGCGCGCTAACCACTGCGCCACCACTCCAGGCCCATCATCATCGTGACCGTCTTCATCATAATCGACAACAACATAATCGTCTCTCCCAGGTGTCGATGAAATAAGTCGCACCACTTCTTGGGAAGCTGACCACGGTCGTCCTACTACTACTACTACGCAGTCATTGGTCCCCGCCGCAGGAATGTGGAATTTCCACCGCCGCCCCCGGGAGCTGCCAGCGTAGACGCGGGCGCGAGGACGGGGGTGGTAGGGGGGGCACTGTGGTAAGTTTTCTTTTACTTTACGATCACTCCGCCGCGCCCAGGTCGCTCGCTGGCGACTGAGCAACCGGGCGAGGAAGGAAGGAACGAACGAACGAATCGCTGCCGCGGCCGCCCCCGGCGCCGCCTTTCCGCTGGCGAGGCGTGAAGCCGCTTAAACAACCGGCCCGGCGCTCACCGGCCCCGCCACTAATCCTACCCGGCGCGGCGAGCCGGGAATGGTGGTGGTGGGGGGGGGGGGGGGCCCTCATAATGGCCGTGTCGGAGACCCGGAGCTGGCAACGCTGGGACCCTGGGTTTTTGCACGCCAGCTCTTTGTATCTGCCTCTCTCTCCCTCCCTCTCTCTGCCTCTCTCTCTCTCTCTCTCAGGCGGTTCACAACAATGGCCATGTCGGAAACAATGAGCTGGCAAAGCTGAGATGAGCGATGCTGGATCTGGGTCTCTCTCTCCCCTTCTGAATGTTCCTCATGGCCCATGTCTCGAGACGTCGGGCTGCCACCTTCCTTGCGATTTGGTTACGGTTGACCAGGCTACTCTCGAGACATTGGTTTAATCGCAAGCGGCTCTGATGGCTGGATCCAAACCCAGGCTCTCGACGCTGTCCGCTCAACGTCTCTAACACGGCCATTATGAATCTCCTAGCAGCAGGGCTTTGTCCCCCGGAATCTCAGCCGTGCCGGCCTTGTGTCTCCGACACGGCCATTATGAACCTCAAGACATGGAGAGAGAGAGAGAGAGCGACGCTCAGTTCTCAGCTGTGCATCTTGAGCCACGGACACGGCCACTGTGAACCCGAGAGCGAAGGAAACCAGGGCCCAAGAATCGACCAGCGAGATGCTCATCCGTGCGTTGGCTTCAGGTCTCCGACACGGCCATTGTGAGCCACCCGCCGCCCTGAGCGCCGTTCCGTGAGAAGCGACGTGGGGGTCTCCCGCACGGCTCGGGGGATGGGGGGGGGGCTGTAAGGCGGCGGTGGTGGGGGGGGGCGGCGGGCGCCGTGGAGAGTTTTAACGGAAACATCTGGGCGCCTCCCCGCATTATGAACTCGTTTTATATTTTTTCGTTTTCCCGAGGACGGGGTGGCGGCAAACTTTATTTATTTATTTATGTTGGGGTTTAATGAGCGCAAAGTGGCCACAGACGGGAAGCGTCCGGAGGCGAGGGGGGTCGACGTACAGACGCGAGAGCGCGCGCGCGGGGGCAAAGATCCCCCGGGTAGCCTGCAAAGGCTGTTTGGGGCAAGTGCGGTTAGCGAGTAGCACCCCAACTAAGGCACCCACCCCGCCGTGGCTGGCGCTGCGCCACGAACCCGGCGGGCCGAGTTCGATTCCCGCTCACGGCCGACGTCGTTGGCGAATGTCTGAAGAGCTCCCGGAAAGTTTCGCCGAGTCGGCTCGGGCGCGGTGCGTCAACGAGCGTCGGCACTCGGCAGGAAACGGCGACCGGGAAAGGTGCCGGCCACACCATCCGACAACATCCCTTTGCCCCAATAGTCCCCCTATGACTTATAGGGGGATCTTTGTGCGAGTGTGTGTGTATACATATCCGTGTGTACATGTGATGTGGGATGAATGAGCTGTATTTTTACGGAATATTTTTGTATGGATGGGGGGGGGGTGTTGGTTGACGGATGGGTTGGGGGGAGGGGTGGGGGAGGGGATGTGGCAATGGGTCCACGGGGAGTCTGGGTGGACAGGACCCCTGAGTGTGTCTCTGTGAGTCAGGAAGCCTGTCGTAGGGTCATAGGTCAACCCAGCTCCACCCGCTCGCCCCCCCCTTCCCCCCAGTGTCAACGCTGGGGTCCCCGGTCCGTTGTTAATCAAACGCAAGAACCAGGACCTTGACAGCTCAGGGGCCGTGGCTGAACCTGGCGTGGTGGAGTTCAACGGTCCGCGAGCCATGAAACCACTGCGGTGGCGGTGCCCGCCAAGGGTTCTGTGTTGAACGGGACCGAAGGTTCCGCGTCAGATGGAACGAGGATTTTGTGTCGGATGAGACGAGGGCTCTGCATCGGATGGGACGGAGGATTCTGTATCGGATGGGACAAGGTTTCCGTGTCGGATGAGACCGAGGATTCTGTGTCAGATGGAACGAGGATTCCGTTTTTTATGAGACGAGGGTTCTGTGTCGGATGGGGCTGAGGGTTCTGCATCGGATCGGGTCGCGGTTCTGTGTCGCGGCGTTCGGCAGGAGCTCTCCATGTATGTTGAACTTCTTGCACGACGAGTGACCAGGGGCATCCCGAGATTTCGGTCGGCGGCGAATGGACACACCGGCGCAGACAAGAAACACGACAGAGAGAGAGACAGACTGAGGCACTGTGTGCATGCGCGGGGGGGGGGGGGGGGTGGAGGCAGTCACTGAGGGCCGCTGTCTCCGGTACCCCGTGCCTAACCAGGTATGTGGGGGCCTGGGCGGTGGTGGCGGCGGCGGCGGTGGTAGAGGCGGTGTTATTTTTGGGCAGCTGGGTTTTATTTTCCCCGGACTCCTCTCGTGATCTGGGCGTTGCGTCTGCGAGCGACGCCGGGCCCCTTCAACCCTCCACCTCCTCCTCCTACCCCTCGCCTCCTCTTGGCTCGGAGATTCACAACGGCGCGAGTGGTGCCCCAAGGGCACCGCGCCAGCCAGGCGGCCCAGCCAAGACACACGTGGAACACACATAGTACACACATAGTACACACACACAGTACACACACACAGTACACGTATAGTATACATTGTATAACACATAGTACACACACGCAGTACACACACACAGTACACGTATAGTATACATTCTATACACACATAGTACACACGCGCAGTACACACACACAGCACACGTATAGTATACATTGTATACACACATAGTACACACACGCAGTACACACACACAGTACACGTATAGTATACATTGTATACACACATAGTACACACACGCAGTACACACATAGTACACACACACAGTACACACACACACACAGTACACACACACAGTACACACACACAGTACACACACACAGTACACACACACACACAGTACACACGGTTCGCAAAACTAACATTATTGATATTGTTATTGCGGCGAGCTGGACACTATCAGGTGTGTATATATATCACCGATGGCCGCCCAATACAACATGGGTGAACAAGTGGACTACTCCACGTGGTGACAATTGTAGCCTGTTGCTGCTTTCTATTTCAAATTCCATACCAAAGAAGGATATTATAATGTTGTGAATTCGCAAAACACACAGAGAGGTGCATGTACAGATTAGGATGTGTTCAGCCGAGTAATGATGGATGCTTATTATACGTGTGGGGAGGACATCGGAGCACCTGGATAAAACTCAACGCTCGCGTGCGAAGGGGCAACGCTCTATCCCAGTGTTCTTCAATCATTTTCAGAGGTGTGGTGCATTTTCGCCAATAAGACATCAATCGGCGCGAGGAGGGCCGCCACACCATTTGAAAACCATTGTTGGGGTTTGACAGCAGCGCGATGATGATGATGATGACGGGGGGTGTTTCACAATTTGCGTATTGCTTTGTTGTATTGTCGGGAGGGGGCACGTCAGGGGACCGCACTAAAGGCCACCAGGGGACCGTGCCAGTGGCCCACGGGGGGCCTTGCGAATGAAGAATGCTGCCCTGTCCCATCTTCAAGAAGCGACGGGTGATGTCAGTCCGCACTCTCGCTGTGAGACCACCTTCTTCTGGTGCAGCGAGGCTACGTGGCGCCTTCCTCGACACCCACGGCTAACGAAGGGAGTTGCGTGACCATTGGAGTGCCTCCACCCGTGCGGGATTACACTCACCTAAAACTATGAACTATTGTTTATTTTACCAGGTAAGGCCCACTGTGAAGATAAAGACAATGATGTGAAGATCAGGATGTGAACT